TTTATCAATAGATAGAGGAAGAAGAGATACCCCTATAACCGTTTATAGAGTGTTGTATAGTCTTTAGGGAAGAAAGAGGAGGATAGGACTTTCAGGGAACTGTTGCTAGTAGGGAATGGGCCGACTAGGAGATAAACCCAGAAGTAAGTACCCCTGGCCTACGACTAGATAGGACAAAACTCTAGTATTATAATAAGGCCTATATCAAGACTTAGGATTAGAAGAACCTTATACTTGAAGTCTACTAGTCGAGACTTAGAGGATATATAGGGATTGTAAAAATAGCTGCTAAGCTTAAATAATACTATAATTTCCTATACCTTAAGGAGAAGGTTAAGGAGGTCATTGATAAGTATAACCTCTATAGACAGAGTAAACCAGGATAATATAAGCCCTATAGACTACTATAGCCCTTGCCCATTACCGAACGACTATAGAGTTTAGTAACGATGGACTTTATCATTAAGCTACTAGAATCCAGGGATACTATAATATAGGTAGTATATAATAGTATCCTTATAGTAGTAGATAGACTTACCAAATAGACCTACTTTCTACCCTATAAGGAAACCTAGATAGTATAATAATTTATAGATACCCTCTATCGGTATATTACCTCGATTTATATATAGCTAAAGGAGTAGATAATAGACTAAGATACTAAGTTCGCCTCGAAATTTTAGTAAGCCCTTATAATAAGACTTAGAATAAAAAGTAAGCTTTTAACGGTATACTATATATAGATAGATAGACAGATAGAATAGCTTAACCAGGTGGTCGAGCAGTACCTTCGACTCTATATTAATTTCTAATAAAACAACTAGGTCAAGCTCCTACCCGTCGTATAGCTTACTTATAATACTACCGAAATAGAAATAATAAAAGTTACGCTATATTTTATAAACTTCAGCTATAAACCGGACCTATAGTAAGGACCCAATATTAAGGTACCCTAGGCTACTATCAAAGTAGATAAGATAAGCTCGCTCTATACGATGCTTAAGGAGGAGCTTAAGTTTATAAGAACTAGGATAAAAAAGTTTTACAACTAAAAAAGGCTCGAGGGACCTTGCCTAGAGAGGGGAGATAAGGTCTACCTTAGCTTATAAAATCTCAAAAACAAACGGCCTAGTAGGAAATTAGACTTTAGGAAAATAGGACTATTCAAAATTAATAAAAAGATCTCGGAGAACAATTATACCCTTACCTTACTATTAACTATAAAACTACGAACGAACGTTTTTTACATTATACTACTTGAACCTATACCGAAGAACTTAAGGCTAGATAGGGACGCTAAAGTAGAGGATAAAGAAGAGGAATAGGATATAGAGGAAGTCCTCGATTTAAGGATTATAAAAGGGTAACTAGAGTACTTAGTTAAATGGTTAGACTTTAGGCCTAAGGATAACTTATAGTAACTAGTAGAAAACTTGATTAATTATCTAGAGAAGTTATAGGATTTCTATTACTAGTACCCTGATCGACCTATATAGCTAACGAAGACCAGTTAAAGCTACCATTATCAAAAGAAGAACTAGGGAAACGACGGTCAGTAGTTAAGAAAAAAAAAAAGAGAGAAAACCCCTATTATATTCTACTAGAATATAATAGGCAGTTTATAACTATAGGGGGAATTGAACCTATAACCTAGTATAGGAGATTTAATAACCCTAAAACCCTAGGGGTATTTAGGACTACTAACGTTAAATATATATATACTACTACTATACTATATAACTATTTTATTTATTAAAAGGAAAGAGAGGAAATACTTACTTAAGAAGGGAAGGATTAAGCAGAGGACCCTATAAGGAAGGAGTACCCTTGGATCTTAGAAGGCTAAGAGCCTCCTAGTCTAGTACACTAAAGGTACTAGCTAACTAAGCCTGGCTAACTAAAGCCTGCTCTTCCGGTATCGGCCTTAGGGAATCGGGCTCCTCCTCCTCCTCTAGGCGAGATATCCCTTAACGAAATGTCTCCGCCCCCCGTTCGCGAAGAAGGTACTATTAAGCGTAGAGACAAGACAAGCGACTTAAGGTTTCGGTCAATGACCGCTCTACCTCCTTAATGTCTTGCGCTACTTTTTCCTACTCTAATAGGTTAGATAGTACTAGACTAACAGTTAGGAAGAAGTAGTAAGAACAACCGGTACTAAGACACCTATAAGAACTAGCTATATTAGGGCTACTATACTTTTTACCTATCTAAATATAGCTCGAATATTTATTCGAGCCCTCTATTATAATATAGCGCCTCTAAGGCTTTATATTCTAGCAATGCTTATAGGGTATAATAGTCTTAAAGCCTGACCGTTCGATTATTATAGAAAGGATAAGATATTCCTACCTTAAGTTATAGGAACTATAACGCTTAGGGTTAGCTATAACAATAAAAAGAAGCGCGATAAATAAAGAAACGGGAACTTATAAGTTAGTAAGGTATTAGTACTAAGTTATAGTTAAAGGAACCCTAGGTCTCTTAGGACAAGAAGATAAAGAGGGGGGGTATTGTATTATAAACCAACTATATAATAGGAATATATATAGGCCCTATAGGGAGGATATAGCTAATAAATATAGGGAGTAGCTAGGATAGTTATATAAAGGTAGCTATAGTAGACTTAGGTAGCTAGCTACTCTGAGCGATCAAGGTAGATTACAATAGCTAGCGAGCAGTGGCGAGCCGGGATAGTATATAGTCACTCGTTCTAGAGAGCTCTAGGAGTTCTCTAGTAAGCAATACAACTTGTTCGCTACCAATTGCTACGGACATTGAAACCAGATCATCATCTTGTTATAAACCCTTTGGCTTCACCGGATTATAGCCCTTAAGACCTACCTTCAGTGAACCCTTTCAGAGTGTGGCTGCGGAACAATCCGTCACACTAGCCTACCTTTCGAGGTAGAAGCCGATGCGTCGAATTTTATAGTTGGAGGACAATTAGGATAGAGGGACGAGAACGGGAAACTATACCTAGTAGCGTTTTTTTCGAAAAAACTAGATAGGCCTTATCTTAATTACCCTATCTACAACAAAGAACTACTCGCTATTATCGAAGTATTTTAAGAATAGAGACCCTACTTTAGCGGAACTACCTATCTAGTATAGGTCTATACCAACTATAAGAACCTTAAGTACTTTATAATAACCAAGGTCTTAAACGGACAGTAAACTAGATAGGTGGAATTCTTATTAGAATTTAACTTCGTGATCAACTATAAGAAGGGTATAGAAAACGCCTATATAGATACCTTAAGTAGAAGGACCAATCACTAGGATAGTAATATATTAGAAAACTCGCCAGTACTACTATAGTAATAGATAGACAGTACCCTTTACTATGCCTTATAACCAGTTGAAGATTATAAGATTATAGCCATTTACCAATAGCTAGAGGAGGAAGAAGTACTCCTATAACCGTTTATAGAATATTATATAGTTTTCAGGGAAGAAAAAGAAGGACGAGATTTCTAGGGAACTATTACTAGTAGGGAACAGACTAACTGGGAGACAGACCTAAAGGTAAGTACCCCTGGCCTATAACTAGACGGGACGAGGCTCTAGTATTACGATAAAGCCTATATTAAAACCCGAGACTAGAAGGACCTTATATTTAAGGTCTACCAGTTGAAACTTAGAGGATATATAGGAATTATAAAGATAGCTACCAAACTTAAATAATATTATAACTTCTTATACCTTAAGGAGAAGGTCAAAGAGGTTATTAATGAGTATAACCTCTATAGATAGAGTAAGCTAGGATAATATAAGCCCTATAGGCTATTATAACCTTTGTCTATTACTGAACGGCTATAGAGTTTAATAACGATAGACTTTATTACTAAACTACCGGAATCTAGAGATACTATAATATAAGTAGTATACAATAGTATTCTTACTATAGTAGATAGGCTTACTAAGTAGATCTATTTCCTACCCTATAGAGAAACCTAGACGGTAGAACAACTTATAGATACTCTTTATTAGTATATTACTTCGATTTATATATAGCTAAGGGAGTAGATTATAGATTAAGATACTAAGTTTACTTTGAAGTTCTAGTAAGCCCTAATAATAAGACTCGGTATAAAAAGCAAGCTTTTAATAGTATACTATATATAAACAGACAGATAAACGGAACGACTTAACCAGATAGTTAAACAGTACCTTTAACTTTATATCAACTTCTAGTAGGATAACTAGGTTAAGCTATTACCTATTATATAACTTACCTATAATACTACTAAAATAGAGATAATAAAAGTTATACTATACTTTATAAACTTTAGTTATAAACTAGACCTTTAGTAGAGACCTAACGTTAAAGTATCTTAGGCTATTATTAAAGCGGATAAAATAAGCTCGCTCTATATAATATTTAAAGAGGAACTTAGGTTTATAAAGGCCAGGATAAAAAAGTTCTATAACTAGAAAAGGCTCGAGGGACCTTACCTAGAGAGGAGGGATAAAGTCTACCTTAGTTTATAAAATCTTAAAACCAAACAACCTAGTAAAAAACTCGACTTTAAGAGGATCGGGCCTTTTAAAATCGATAAAAAGATCTCTAAAAATAACTATACCCTTACCTTACTATTAACTATAAAACTATAAATAAACGTTTTTTATATTATACTATTAGAACCTATACTAAAGAACTTAAGGCTAGATAAGGACGTTAAAGTAGAAGACGAAGAAGAAGAATAGGATATAGAAGAAATCCTTAACTTAAAAATTATAAAGGGGTAATTTGAATACTTAGTCAAGTAGTTGGACTTTAGACCCGAGGATAACTCGTAGTAGCTAGTAGGAAATTTAGTCAATTGCCTGGAGAAGCTATAGGATTTCTATTGCTAGTACCCTGATTGCCCTGTATAGCTAGAAAAGGCTAGTCGAAACTACCGTCGTTAAAGGAAGAACTAGAAGAACGACGATTAGTACTAAAAAAAAAAAGAAAAGAACCCTCTATTATACTCTACCAGAATATAATAGATAGTTTACAACTATAATAGGGATTAAACCTATAACCTTATATAACCTATATTCACTATCTAAAGGAGGAGTAGTAAATATATTTAAAATATATATATACTACTACTATACTATATAACTATTTTATCTATTGAGAATAATAGAAGGAATACTTATTTAAGAAAGGAGGACTTAGTTATAAGTCCCTATTCTAAGGAGCTATAGGAGCTAGGTCTAATAGGATAGTTAGGTCAGCCTTAGATAAGTTCAGGCCTAAAGAGGACTAGTTGAAGGGGATGTCTACGTCTAGCGACCTAATATCGTTGACTATGAATTCCTCGGACGCCTATATCCTTCTATCCTCCTCCTCTACCTCGTCTAGGGACTATATTCCCCGACGGAATAACTTAGAACCCCGCTCCTTTAAGATATACTTTAACGACGAAGACAAGCTAAACGTCCAATAGCCGTCTACAGCTATATCTAGAGTATAAATAAAGCCTCTTTAGCGTTAGCCTTCTCTTATTCTACCTGTTTCTACTCGGATAAGATTTTAGTTACTAAAGCTATAAGTCAGTAAAGATCAGGAGAGTAGATAGAAATACAGACAAGTAGAAACAATGCTAGAACTATTATAGGAGTAGCTATAACGAATATACTTACTATACCGAGAAGAACCCTACGAAATACAATATATAAGGTTATGCTTAAAACACTAGGAGCAAGGTATAGTCTTAACACTAGAGGAGTCGATAAACGAGGTAAGTACAGTACATTTTTAGGACTTTTTAGATTGCCGTTTACAGATATAACCTGTTATTTTATCAGCATCGTTGAAGGAAAGAACAAAAAGGAGGAAAGTAACAGCGCTTACAAATATAGGCTGTTAGCAGTATTTAAAGTACATTAAGGCTCTTAGGTCGAGAAGCCTTACAGGAGGGGCATTGTATCGCGAGTTAGCCTAGGGAACAGCCAAGAAGGACCTATAAGTTAGGATACAGGACGTACTAGCGGCCAATCATTAAATAACCAATTAGAAAAGGATCACTACTATAGCACTATAATCCAGCGCTATAGATTACCAGGATTACAGTATAATCCAGGTAAGCTAATACCAAGGATTACCAGGGTAAAATGGTGATCTAGTCAGTATATAGTCACTCGTTCTAGAGGACTCTAGGAGTTCTCTAGTAAGCAATATAACTTGTTCGCTACTAATTGCTACGGACATTGAAACCAGATCATTATCTTATTATAAACCCTTTGGCTTTACCGGATTATAGCCCTTACAATATACCTTTAGTAAACCCTTTCAGAGTGTGGTTGAGAGACGATCTGTCATAGAGAACCTCTACTATTATATCACAAACCAACTATATAGGGCGACCCTGGTGGGGCGAAGCTAGAGTAGCGCAGCCAATAGGATTAGGGTAGGATCAGGAAGGCTGTATAAAGGACAGCCCGAGGTAGACCTATAATAGTATAAGGTAGCTGGCAAACGTCAGCGACTATAATAGCATCAGGCAGTCAGCTACCTAAGGCAAGCGAAGGTAGAATATAGTAGCTGGTAAGCTATAGCGAACTAGCCATTTTAGATAGTATATTAGTCACTCATTCTAGAGGACTCTAGCAGTTCTCCAGTAAGCAATATAACTTGTTCGCTACACTTATTTAAAGACAGTAAACATTAAGACTAGATCATTATCTTATTATAAACCTTTTGGCTTTACTGGATTATAACCCTTATATTATACCTTTAGTAAACCCTTTTAGAGTGTAGTTGAGAAACAATCTGTTATATATTACTACTAGTACTAGATATAGACTTATTATAGATAGGGGTAGATATAATTATAGGTAGGAGAGGGGAATATTTTAGAAATAGACCTAGGAGAGTAAGATTATTATTATTGTTATTTTAGTAGAAGAGAATATAGTAGTATAGACAGCTATAAGGTAGGAGAAACTATAGTTGTTATATATAGAGGGAAGAAAACTTTTTAGGAATAATGTTACGAACCAACTATATAGGGCGACCCTAGTAGGGCATAGCTGAAGCAGCATAGCCAATAGGACCAGGGAAAGATCAGGCAGGCTATATAAAGGACGGCCTAAAGCAAACCTACAGTAGCGTAGGGTTGCTGGCAAGCGCCAGCGACTATAACGGCATCAGGCAGTCAGCTATCTAAGGCGAGCGAAGGTAGGATATAGTAGCTGGCGAGCCACGGCGAGCCAGCAGTTTCAGATAGTATATTAGTCACTCATTCTAGAGGACTCTGGCAGTTCTCCAGTAAGCAATACAACTTGTTCGCTATAATTGCTCAGACCAGTGAACATTGAGACCAGATCATTATCTTATTGTGAACCCTTTGGCTTCACCGGATTATAACCCTTACGTCATACCTTTAGTGAACCCTTTTAGAGTGTGGTTGAGAGACGATCCGTTATAAATAAGGGGTATAAGAAATTATTTTAGTTCTAGGAAGTATAGGGTAGTTAAAGCTATTACCTAAGGCTAGGTAGTAGGAGGGTAAAAGGCCAGTAGCCCCTGGAATTTTTTAGAACCAAGGCTTTATATATACTATATATATGACGTATTGTCTCTCAACTACACTCTGAAAGGGTTTACTGAAGGTAAGGGTAAGGGTTATAATTCAGTATAGCCAAAGGGTATATGATAAGATAACAATCTGGTCTTAATGTCTATAGCAATTGGTAGCGAACAAGTTGTATTGCTTACTAGAGAACTCTTAGAGTCCTCTATAATAAGTGACTATATACCTATTTAATTTCTATATTGCTTAGTCTACTCAGTTCCTCCAGATACTGACTATACTAATTACCTTAGCTAGTTAAGGCTTTCTATTAGTAATCACTTCTTAAGTGCTTAGTATACTTGGATTACTTAGTAACTAAGCCTACTAACTACCCCTTACATTCCTGATTGGTCTAACCTGAACGACTGGCTCGGGGTATCCTATACCCTAGGTCTACCTATTAGTATATCTATAATACAATGCCCCTCCTCTAGGGCTGATATCCTGTTGGCTATATTCCCTAGCTAACTCTTGAAATAGTACTAATAGTCCTTAATCTAATCCTGGTTAGTATTCCTCTATTCTCCTTACTTCTCCCTCTAGTATAGTTAACTGTCTTATCCTTTATTATAACTAACGGTATAAAGAAATAGAAATGAAAATAGAAATCTAGTACTAAGTATCGTTATACCTATATATATATTACTAAACTTCTTAGTACTAAAATAGTAAAGTATATCCATTATAGGGAAAAGAGATTATAGTCCTATAAGACTATTAATAACTCTAACGTTTATAGGAATTACCTCGATATAGGTAACTAATCCTATAATACATTTAGCTACTATAACTCTATAGTCGAATGTCTAGTAGTTGAAAAGTATAAGCTTAACTATAAGGAGTAGGAGACTGTAGATACAATCTATATATTAATGGCAAAAGTAGATTGTCTCTATATCTAGTGCTATATCCTAGAGGAGAAGGCGCTAGTAATGTTTAACTAGGAGGGGGAGGTTCTCTATAAGCAAGAGCACTAGGAGACCTCTACTCCTTCTAGGTCCCTTCTTCCTCCTACTAGTCCCTTTAACCTATCCCTTCTTAAGTAAGTATTCCTTCTTTGTTTTAATAAATGAAATGATTATATAATATAGTAGTAGTATATATACCTTATTTTAATATACTTGCTACCCCCTTCTTAGGTAGTGAATATAGACTTATATAAAGTTATAGGTTTAAATCCTATTATAGTTATAAACTATCTATTATATTCTGGTAGAATATAATAGGGGGTTTTTTTTTTTTCTCTAGTAGCTGACTATCGTTCCCTTTAGTTCTTCTTTGGTTCCTTTCGATAATGGTAGTTTCAACTGGTCTTCTTTAGTTATATAGGGCGATCAGGGTACTAGCAGTAGAAATCCTATAGCTTCTCCGGGCAATTGATCAAATTTTCCGCTAGTTACTATAAGTTGTCCTTAGGTCCGAAGTCCAACTATTTAACCAAATACTCGAGCTGCCCTTTTATAATTCTTAAATCGAGGATTTCCTCTATATCCTATTCTTCTTCTTTATCCTCTACTTTAGCATCCTTATTAAGCCTTAAGTTCTTTAGTATAGGTTCTAGTAGTATAATATGAAAAACGTTCGTTTATAGCTTTATAGTTAATGGTAAGGTAAGGGTATAATTGTTCTCTGAAATTTTTTTATCGATTTTGAATGGCCTAATTTTCCTAAAGTCGAGTTTCCTACTAGGTCGTTTGGTTTTAAGATTCTATAAACTAAGGTATACTTTATCCCCCTTCTCTAGATAAGGTCCCTTAAGCCTTTTCTAGTTATAAAACTTCTTTATCCTAGTTCTTATAAACTTAAGTTCCTCCTTAAGTATTATATAGAGCGAGCTTATTTTATCTGCTTTAATAGTAGCCTAGGGTACCTTAATGTCAGGTCCCTATTGAAGGTCTGGTTTATAGCTAAAGTTTATAAAGTATAGTATAACTTTCATTATCTCTATTTTAGTAGTATTATAAGTAAGCTATATAATAGGTAGTAACTTAACCTAGTTATCCTGCTAGAAGTTAATATAGAGTTAAAGGTACTATTCGACTACCTAGTTAAGTCATTCTATCTGCCTATCTATTTATATATAATATACTATTAAGAGCTTACTTTTAGTGCTAAGTCTTATTATTAGGGCTTGCTAAAACTTTAAGATAAACTTAGTATCTCGATCTATTATCTACTCCTTCGGCTATATATAAATTGAGGTAATATACCGATAGAGAGTATCTATAAGTTGTTCTGCTATCCAGGTTTCTTTATAGGGTAGGAAATAGGTCTATTTAGTAAGCCTATCTACTATAGTAAGGATACTGTTATATACTACCTATATTATAGTATCCCTAGATTCTAGTAGCTTAGTAATAAAATCTATTATTACTAAACTCTATAGTCGCTTAGTAACAGGCAATGGTTATAATAACCTATAGGGCTTATATTATCCTAGCTTACTTTATCTATAAAGGTTATACTTATTAATAACCTCCTTAACCTTCTCCTTAAGGTATAGGAAGTTATAATGTTACTTGAGTTTAACGGCTATTTTTGCAA